GAGTTAGTGATGATATTGATTATAGAGCACGCTTCTTTAAAGACCAGAGTGTAGGTTCCATGTTTTGTTCACTGATATATCCCAAGATCCTAGAATAATATCTGGCACACAGCAGTGTTTATTAAATATTTATTACATTGAATTGGTGCTGGCATTCCTAGCATGAAAATTGTAGAATAACGTGTCCTCCACCTGATCTATCATTTAGTTATAACTATTACTCTCAACAACAACAAAAAAATTAGAAAATACTCATTTGTCACTTAACATTTATGAACAACTTGCCACACATAACCTCATCCAGTTCTCCAGGTTCTGCACAGCCTGGAGACATCTGGGCACCAGGAGCCCACATCGGAACCCCTGTCTGATGCCTGACTCTGTTCTCTCCTACTGTCACTGTTAAGGATTAAGTTGTGTCCCCTCTGCCCCCAAAATTCACATGTTGAAGTCCTAATCCACAATTCCTCAGAATATGACCTTGCTTAGAAATAGGGTCATTGCAGATGTAATTAGTTCAGTTAGGATGAGGTCATACTGTAGTAGGATAGACATGATTAGCTGCTTCATAATAAAGGGAAATTTGGACTCAGACGTGCACACAGGGAGAAGGTCATGTGAAGATGAAGGCAGCAATCAGAACAATGCTTGTACCAACTGGGCAATGTCAATGACTATCAGGAAACTGCCAGAAGTTAGGGGAGCCCTCACAGTCCTCAGAAGGAACCAACCCTGATGAACCCTTGATTATGGACTTCTGGCCTCTAAAACTGTGAGGCAATAAATTCCTGTTGTTTAAGCCACCCAGTGGCACTTCATGGCAGTTTGCAGCACCCAGTTTGTGGCACTCATTTCTTTTGGCTGTAAGTAACCCTAGCAATCTAATGCAGCCACCTACTTACTCCTAGCAGTTTGTCAGATGTCCTACCAGGGTACTTGTAGCCCTGACCTTACTCCCACTGGACACCCTCCAGTACAGAGCTGAGAGTTCACGAGATTGCCTCCAATTTATCCCAAAGCATCCACAATTATATGTTGTAGATGTCTGACATGTTCTTCCATCTAATGGCACAGCAATTACGCCCGACACCGTTCCCTTACCGTCTCCTGGCTCCTGTGCTTGAAGAGGCATTGTAACCTGGAGGGGGCGGTGGAAACCAGGACTGCCTGTTAAGAAATGACACAGTAATAAACACGATGCTTGAAAGGCTGATCCCACCCACATGTCTGAAAATAATTTGACAGTTAAAAAGACAATGAGATTATACCAAGCCTTGGAAGTAAAATGAACACTATTTCATAAATGAAGTAGGAAGTAACTGTCCTATATTCTAGGTTATCTGTTCCTCCAAGTAAACTTCTTTTCTCATTTCCTTTGGCACTAAGTGATGTGGACATTTCTTTTAAAAATAAATCTAAAGCAAATCTGGAAAATAATGACAATTGCTAAATCTAGATAGTAAATTCATGCATGTTTATCATGTTATTCTCCCTATTTTTTGCATGTCTGAACTATTCATAACAGAAATAACAATCTTATACTCTACTCAAAATACATACAGTTTTATTTTTATTTTTATTTTTGAGACGGAGTTTTGCTCTTGTCGCCCAGGCTGGAGTGCAGTGGCGCGATCTCAGCTTACCACAACCTCCGCCTCCCGGGTTCAAGCAGTTCTCCTGCCTCAGCCTCCCAAGTAGCTGGGATTACAGGTGCCCACCACCACGCCCAGCTAATTTTGTATTTTTTAATAGAGATGGGGTTTCTCCATGTTGGTCAGACTGGTCTCAAACTCCCGACCTCAGGTCATCCACCCACCTGGGCCT